TGTAATATTTAAACATAGAGATGAAAGCTTTGCAACAAATAGGAAGTGTTCTTAGCTCATATTTAATGGCTAAATTTGAAGCTTTTCTCTGTACACCCAAGATGTCTTTAAACATTAAATGCTGTATCTTTTCAAAAGGTAGTTGATCACAATTGTTTATATTAATATTAAAGTCTGAAATCCATATCTCAGAACCATACAAAATGATAGGTTCAATAAGTGAAGAATATAGTTATAAAAGAATTTTTACAGATACGTTATTATGAAATGGTAAAGAGTGTTTCATTGCATAAAAAGCTTTTCTTGCACGGTCAGCAAGGTGTTCAGCTGCATACTTAAGTTTACCAGTATAAGTAAAAATAATTCCCAGATATTTATATTCATGTTCAAGATGAACTATTGAATGATTATAATAAAAACAATGTTGAGCTGTGTCAATTTTCTTATTTGAGAAAATCATTGCTTTAGTTTTATTAAGCTTAACAGTCAATTTTGATTTTATGCAATATTCTGAGAGACAGTCTGTTGAGTTTTGGAGACCTTCTTTAGTAGTAGAGAGGAGAATTAAGTCATCTGCAAAGAATAAACGTCCGACATCAATATTCTGTAATTCAGGAGGGTTTGTGTTATAATTAACTAACTGCGAGTAGAAGTCATCAATAAATATATTAAAAAGTGTTGGGGAAAGATTATCTCCTTGTTTAACCCCGCGTGTAGCTATAAAATGTTCACTATAGCAAGATTCAATTAAATGCAAATTATAGCATGTAAGAAACAAATAATAAAATATTAATTCCCTTACCCCTCCAATTATAGACACTTTTAGAAATCAATTTAGAATATGTTCTACCTCTAAGCAGGATATCAATGCCTCAAGTCTGTCTTATTTTATCAGGGCCGTCGCTAGGTTCCCAGAAAGGGGGGGGGGTATCTTAGCTAGACGTTTCTTTGTTTTCAGAAATGGGTACCATTTTGGTGAGTTCTGGTTCATTTGTAGGATACATTTCTAGGAAAAACTTCTTTACCAAAAGATGTTGCTTCCTTGTATTTTAATGCATATTTACAAAATTTCAAATTAATATATTTTTTCCCATTTTTCCCGTTGTAACCATACCCCACTGTACCATTTAGATAAATTACGACTCAAACAGGCTGTTATATCTCTTTTGGGCGAGTGGTTCCGATGCAACCTTTTGAAATGTTCACGTGCACAGTCAATGAATACACGTATAACTAAACATTTACATCATTTGCATGTAATTCACAAAAGAGCAATTACCTCTTTTAAAACTGCAGATTATTTTACTTCACTTAAAACTATAGAAATGTAAAACTGCATTTTTCCGTCTAAGAAGATTTGTGAGTTGTATCGTTTGACCATTGACCAGTGAAATTAACGGCCATGATTATGTTTGAAAATGGCAGGAGTGTCAGAATATATACGACCATATTCAAAGAAATTGAACACTCTTGATAGAAATTCTCAAATATTTCTTATTACAATATTTACCTTAATGCTTGTTTATCTAGATCATTAGATGCTCCTGTAAAACATTTTCTACTGAAAATTGTATATAAACTAAGTCTGCAGCGTTAAGTTGCCTCGTATTGTTTGTTACTGCTTAGTGAATTCGGTAGTGAATTATGTTCATAGACCATGCTCACGTGATTTAAATACGTATTCATTAATTTACTGCGGTCATAAGAGCGTTAAATATATAGTATATGAATTAACACTGCAAGTACACGATCAAATCTTTTCTGATATTGTGACTTTCAACTGAAATCCTTTTTTATTTCCTTTTCTTTTTTCCCTCCGTATTGTTTAATTCGCTGGAATGGAATATTGCAGGTACTTTAATAAACTACACTTACAAATTACATCCTCCAAAGATTATTTAAATAAGCTAAGCAAGGTATCATTCGTGGATATATTTATGCTAATTTTGAGTGCAAAATACCCTGACCTCAACTACCATATTATATCTGAACATCCGCAAGCATGGTTCAGACTCCCCTTGGGATTTTAAGAGTAATTAAATTTGTATAATTTTGTAACCATAGAATGATCTTAGATCACCCTACGCAGTACAGTTAAGGTGACAAATGGAAATATCGGCGAATTTTTTATATAGAAAATACATTCTTTACAAGGATGGGCGATTCTTTTTAGGACTTTACTATTACCAGACAAATGTAATGTGGTTGAAAACTACATGTTGGGGACGATCAGATTTCTTACCTAGACTTGTGACGTAATGTGGCAGTCACGTGATTTTAGCAAATATACCTGCAGTATTGAGATCATCTATAAATTCCAATATTGCAAGGGCATAACCACGTTGAAAATCTAAGTTTAATTTATAATTATTTTCAACACTCTTTGTAGTTTGTGAAAAGTGCTGCGAACCTATATAGATTCTACTATATGACTGCTAAAATTACGTTTGTTAGACCGTATGCTGAATATTTTGCTGGTCAAGTACATTAAATATAGATATAATTAATTCATTTGCAAGATTTCATCAGGTTCGCAGCACTTTTCAAATATCTTCATACCTCTTGAGTTTATGTGTAAAAGCTTGTCATAATTCATTGAGGGTATGCCCTTGCAATATATCGATTTATTACGACCCTTCTATTACCCTTCAATGAATCTGCATACAAATATACGGCAGTATCGCTTGTCTAGGAAATGTACGGGAAGTATATGATTAAAATCATAAAATATACATCGCATCCAACTTAATGGCCTCTTATATATCTGCAAATATATTTTATTTACTTACAAAATACATTTTTCATTGTATAAAATATAACTTGATCCGCCTCTCACTGCATATAAACTGCGTCAAATTTTGCGATATGACGTCACATTGACAAGTGCATTGCGATCAGTGAATTGTTTATATATTGCTCTGTGGGATTAAACCAACGACAAAAATACATGCAATAGTAAGTGTTGATGTAGTTTAAAGCTATCCAACAGTTTAAAATAGCAAATCATTTCATTTTGTTGTAATTTGAAGAACATATACATTTGTGTGATGTCATAGTAAGCATTTCCCGTAAAAATTAGGCCCCGCCTCCTTACTGCAGCCTTAACTGTGCTGCGTAGAAAATAAGGGCCTCTAGTAAAATGGTAAGGAAAGTCTGCATATGAGGGATAGCAACTAGTCCAATAATTATAATATCCCAACAATGATTAAAAAAAATAATGTGCGGATCCCGGGAGGGGGATCAGAACCTCTATTGGATTCTCTGAGTTGTATTTGAAGAAAAATTAAAAAGGCGGCTTGTCCTCTCTCATCTCATTGTCATCCCCGGAAATAGGTGTTCCAGATTTGGGGGGGGGGGGCAGATTATTTTAGGTGGTCCCCCCCCCCCTTCCGGAAAAAAAAATACTAGATCCTCGCATAAAAAAATGTATTAATTGTTAGGTATGTTTTAGATATGTTATAGTTATGAATGTTTAAAAAAAAAAAAGAAATTGTAATTCAAGTACAAGCAAAATAAATCATGCAGATATTTTAGCCCAACTGGACAGGATCTTCTGTTTCTACAAATGGCTATTTTATATGTGACATTTATTTTCATATTTTTTTCCAAAAAGATGCTGAACCTGTAAAATTCACAAAAAAAGATTTTGAATCACTTTTACTGTCGCTTAAAAGAAAAAAAAATCAATAGATTACCTTCTCCATATTTTGCTTTACCTCATCCCATACTCCTACCCCCTTCCACAAACAATCCTTTAATTGTTGTTTTGCTACTTTTTCTGCTTCAACTCGCTTACTGTCTGTCCAACTGTTTTTCATTATCATTTTCACAAAATTGACCGAAGGAAGCAATTTCAGTTTTGAGAGGGGGGGGGGGGGAGCACAGCCATACATTTTCAGTTGGGGGACTATCAACTACCAAACATCCTTAAAAAGCAAACAAAAAAAAGTCGGACGTTTTTTTTGGAGGGGGCACAGGCATATAGTAGCTATGTTTTTTATAATATTCCATGATTGACATCTTTCAAGGACTATTGGGTCTCTATACGTATACGAAATTATAGATTTTATTTTATTCAGATCATGCCAAGGAATTTGGACTTTGAGTGGAAAATTTCGGTTTCGCATAGGAGAATATAAATGTGTTGAAATAACAAATAAAAACCACACGAGCTAATTTTTGGTTTGTTTGCCAAGGCTCTATGTTTGAGCTGTGGAGTTGACCTTTGATAAGTGAATCAGTGATGACTGATCATCCTCTGACGAGTGCACTACTATAACATAGACAGTCTATATTGCTAGTTAGTCTGTATCCAACCCAGCATTTATGAAAATGCCATAGAACAGTGCTGTCTCCATAATCCAACCTTATGTTATCTGGATGTGTCAACCACCTCTCCTTTCTATTCTAGAAGTACATGCAGAGGAATGAAGGAGTCTGACCCTTACACTGTAAATTATACAGTGAAACCTGTCTTTTCTGACATACACTGGAATGAAAAAGAAAGCCAGTTGAATTGCACGGTGTAAAGAACTAAAGGTAGAAATTCACTGTAAAATGGATTGTAAAGGCATCAGATTAAATAGTTTTGACTGTACATATTGTAAACCATATTCTTGTTACATGTAGCATTATGGCTTGTATTCCTCAAATTAATCAAACTTTCACATTAAAGGCTAATATGATGGACAAGGCCTTCAGATTTAACTGGTCTGCGTATACCTGTCAATCAAGGGAATTTAAGTTCTTTCATTGGTTCAAAAAATTTATTGACATTTAGTAACTCAGTCCAAGAGCATAATTTAGATATTAATTCTACATTAAACATGTACTTCTTTTCTATGCGCTGTAACTGAGACATGGCAAATATCTCGTCACCAAAAGTGTCCAATTCCTTATGGTGACAATGTCTTATCAAAAATTACTTCATGGTTTTTACACAAGAAGAGTTCTCTTCCTTGATACAGACTATAATAACAATGAATGAATAACAAAGAGAATTTAGAATTGCCAGTATTTTATTTTCTGTACAATACTGTAAAAGCGTAATTTACATAATGAATTCAAAGAAAGATACACTTCTTTAAAACAATTAAAATATACTGTAGCTTTTATGTGAATCTGTATGGCTGGGTTATGTCCCTTGTTACTCTGTCAAATTCATAAAAATATCATTAGAAAAATATTCTTGACATATTGTGTTTTCACTGGTTTCCATCATTTTTAATAAATATATATTTACACCTGATCTTTTCATTAAAATATAAAGATCACGCATGAAAAAAATATTCAATTTCACATCAATTTGTTACTGGTGGTTTCATAAAATCAAAAGTTTGCAACTGAATCTAAACGATGTGTGAACAGTGTGATGTATAAAATGAGTAACAGCTGTAAAAATTATCCATGTCTTACAACTAAATACATATAACTATGCTGTACATAAAGATCAGAATCAACCTGAGGCACAAAATACATGCATTAACATCATTGCTAACTGTTAACATATATAAACCCATAATATCAGAAATACCAAAAAATAAATATCCAATAACTTTTCAATTTGCATCATAAAAAGAGTTGTATTTTGATATTGTGTTGTCATGATGATGAGCTTTGAAGGTAGGATGACAGTAAAACGGTGGGAGGATCAAAGACAGGATAAGGGTTCTCTACGTGAGTGTGACGTTCTCCATTGTTTTCCACACCTGAAAAAAAAAATCAAATTGAATGCCAAATACATTATACAGCCTACTATTTAATTGAAAACCAAGTGGATTTTTTAAGGTTTTACACTACAGTTTTTGTTTTTGACCCACTGACACAATATCACAATATAAATAAATATACATGTACATGTATTAATCAATGAAATTTAGATCACATTTTGTTCAATTAATAATTTTTTGTCTCGACATTGACTTTGAAACTATCACTCTAATGCCATGCTTTTGCACTCCTCAATTTTCCTAGAACTTGTGTGATTACAATGAATGAATTTTCTATATCTAACTGACTGAAAACACTAGAATAGGGCTCGACATAAACGCTTGTCCCGTACCAATGAAAAAAAATTACAGACAAGTGAAAAGTGAATATTGCTGGGAACTTGTCCAATTGGACAATCGCTTTTTTATGCAAAGAAGTCACTAAATAATGTAAAAAACAACTGGTAGTTTAAAGACGGAAGCAGCACATAAAAACGAACTTCAATCCCGATATCAATCACTATGTAATCGACATTAACGCTTGTCCCGTACCACTGAAAAAAAATTACAGACAAGTGAATATTGCTGGGAACTTGTCCGATTGGACAATTGCTTTTTTATGCAAAGAAGTCACTAAATAATGTAAAAAACAACTGGTAATTTAAAGACGGAAGCAGCACATAAAAACAAACTTCAATCCCGATATCAATCGCTATGTAATCGACATTAACGCTTGTCCCGTTCCATTGAAAAAAAATTACAGACAAGTGAATATTGCTGGGAACTTGTCCGTTTGGACAATTGCTTTTTTATGCAAAGAAGTCACTAAATAATGTAAAAAACAACTGGTAATTTAAAGACGGAAGCAGCACATAACAAGATGTGTTTGTGAAACACTATGCCCCCGTATGGCAGCTTATGTCGAAGGTTAAAGTTTCTCAAATGTAAGTCAAAATCCAGGCCAAAAGATAAAAAATGTTGATACCCAAAGAAAGATCTTGTCTCGAGGAAAACACCTGTGGAATTTGAAAGACCTAGATACAACTGTTCAAAAGTTATGGTGAAGGTTAAAGTTTTTTAAATAAAAGGCAAACGTCAAGGTCAAGGTCAAGGTTGGTATCCAAAGGAAGATCTCGTCACAAGGATTACATATGTGAAGTATGAAAGCCCTAGCACCAACCATTCAAAAGTTATGGCCAAGGTTAAAGTTTTTCAAAAGTAGGTCAAACTCCTAGGTCAAGGTCAAAGGGTCAAAGTGGTTGGTATCCAAAGGAAGGTCTTGTCACAAGGATTACATATGTGAAGTATGAAAACCCTAGCATGAACCATTCAAAAGTTATGGCCAAGGTTAAAGTTTTTCAAAAGTAGGTCAAACTCCTAGGTCAAGGTCAAAAGGGTCAAAGTGGTTGATATCCAGAGGAAGGTCTTGTCACAAGGAATACACATGTGAAGTATGAAACCCTAAGCACCAACTGTTCAAAAGTTATGGCCAAGGTTAAAGTTTTTCAAAAGTAGGTCAAAGTCCAAGGTCAAGGTCAAAAGGTCAAAGTGGTTGGAATCCAAAAGAAGGCCTTGTCACAAAGAATACACATGTGAAGTTTGAAACCCCAAGCTCCAACTGTTCAGAAGTTATGGCCAAGGTTAAAGTCTCATAAAATTTTGCAAAAGTGGGTCAAACTCCAAGGTCAAGGTCAAAAGGTCAAATATGATGGTACCCAAAGAAAGGTCTTGTCACAAGGAATACACATGTGAAATATGAAAGTCATAGCTCCAACCAATCAAAAGTTATGGGCAAGGTTAAAGTTGACAACAGACAGACAGACAAACAGACAAACAAACAGACAAACAGACAGACAGGACAAAAACAATATACCCCCGGGATCTTTCGATCCGGGGGCATAATAAAAACGAACTTCGATCCCGATATCAATCACTATGTAATTGAGTTCACACTTGATCATGACAGAAGTTTACTAATTGCATACTACTGCAAAGGCATGATCTTATGAAGTTTGGATTCTGATCGATGTTGACAGTTTCACTTGTGAACATTTGTGTTGTTGTCAGGACAGAAAGCCTCTATAAAATTTTGTTATAAGTGTTTGTTGTATTTATCAATAACATTACACATCAATCAAGCATGTATATAATGGAATTTATTTTAAGTAATAGTTTTCAATTTGACAGTATTACATCTTCGAACAAGTGAAGTTGAAGTTCGGACAAGTAAATGTCTTGGTCACTTGTACGAACGGACAAGTAGGAAAACAAGAGGCCCAGGGGCCACATCGCTCACCTGAGCACTGTGGCTAGGAAAAGAGGAAAAATCTGTTTAGTATTGAAAAGCTTAAATGCATAAGTAGTCCCAACCTACCCCTAAAAGGGAGGGGGGGTATGATTTCAACAAAATTAAATCTTCACTAACTAAGGATGCTTACATGATTTTTTGACAAACTGTGACTTTTTTCTCTACAAGTTTGAACTTTCATTGTGGCCCCACCCTACCCCTGGAGGTCATGACTTGAACAAACTTGAATCTACACCACCTGAGGATGCTTCCATATAAATATGACCAATCATAGCTTTGCTGTTCTTGAGAAGAAGATTTTTCCTATATACTCCTATGTTAAGATTTTTCCTATATACTCCTATGTTAATTAAAACTTTAATCTTCCATTGTGGCCCCACCCTACCCCTGGGGGTCATGATTTGAACAAACTTGAACCCACATCACCTGAGGATGCTTCCATATAAATATGACCAATCATAGCTTTGCTGTTCTTGAGAAGAAGATTTTTGTAGATTTTTCCTATATACACCTATGTTAAACTTTGATCGTCCATTGTGACCCCACCCTACCCCTGGGAGTCATGATTTGAACATACTTGAATCTACACCACCTGAGGATGCTTCCATATCAATATGACCAATCATAGCTTTGCTGTTCTTGAAAAGAAGATTTTTGAAGATTTTTCCTATATATCCCTATGTGAAACTTTGATTGTCCATTGTGGCCCCACCCTACCCCCGGGGGTCATGATTTGAATAAACTTTAGTCTACACTAAATGACAATAATTCCACATGTGTTTCATCTTTCCTGGCCCATTGGTTCTTGAGAAGAAGATTTTTCAATAATGCCATTAATTTTTTGCTATTTCGTAATTATCTCCCCTTGGAGGGGGGCGTGGCCCTTCATTTGAACAAACTTGAATCCCCTTCACCCAAGGATACTTTCTGCCAAGTTTGATTGAAATTGGCCCAGTAGTTCTGGAAAAGAGGATGAAAATGTGAAAAGTTTACGACGACGACAACGCCGACAGACAACGGACAAATTTCAATCAGAAAAGCTCACTTGAGCCTTCGGCTCAGGTGAGCTAAAAAAGGTAAAGTAGAGTCCTGAAGAAATGACTTACTTTTGGAATGGAGGTCTAGGTACTGGCACACGCCGTGCAGCATCATTCTCTCAAACCCTCCTGTTAGATGTTGGACGTACACAGAGTCAGGCCAAGATCTGAAGAACTCAATCACATTCCCCTCCAGACTCATCAGAAATTCCTACAAGAAGCATAGCACTAAAGGTGTGGTATTTACTTCAATATTGAACTATAAAATCACTTCTCATTGCCATCAATTCAGTTTAAGGACTTTTTCAACATGGCTTGAGTGACATTGGTATCACATTTTAACTGTTTTAACTTTGAAGTGCCCATTAGAGAAATTGATAAGAATTTGAGGTGGATCTGAACATGTAAGCAGATCCAGAATTTATTTTGATAAAGTTGCATTCAGACTGACATGCTCTTAGATGTCATGACCAAAATTGTCTGAGTGATACACACTGTAGTGGTAAAAGCTCTCTACACACTTGCTTGTCCTTTCATGCAGTTTCAATGTCGGTTGCTTTGTGAAAATATACATTATTACTCATTTCAGACCTACTACTTACAAGTGAATGTTGACACAAGTTTTCTCTCTTTACTCAAAACTTTATTATGCACAATAAATTTACTATATGACATTTATGTGCATACTGTTTCTGATGATTATAAGAACTACACACACTAACTCTCGATTCCCATCTATATTTTACACCCATTTAATTCAATACTAATGGCAATTTGATCGTAAAATCTTTGTTGAACGCAAAGAACAGTTCAATGGTAATTGACTGATAATCTTTGTTGAACGCAAAGAACAGTTCAATGGTAATTGACTGATAATTTTAATTCCAGTGTTAAATAGTTAATTACCCCTAATTCCCGCTCTTTAAATAACTGGGGGGTAGACGATATTTTCCATTGAAATCGGGCTTTAAAGCATCAAGACATTTTAAAATATTCTTGGATATGAATAAATGATCCTTAAATCTTTTCTTATGTTTTACGCATATAAAATTAAACATATATTATTAATAAAATGCAATGTTTTAGTTGTAAAACCCTTTGAAATTGGTGAAAAAAATTTAGTTAGCATTTTTGTAGTTTTTTGTCTGTAAACATATGTCCCCCCCCCCCCCCCCCCCCCCCCCCCGTGAAACACAAAAAGCTTTGGTATGAATTTGTGAAATGACAGTCCATATTACCTGTAAAAAGGAATTTTTGTTTCATGGGGGGGAAAGATGTTTTAAAATATTTCCGTTTTCTGTTGATTTCTATGGTGAAAAACACAAGTTTTACCCAAATTATAGAGTTATCTCTCTTTGTTTTCCCAAAGAAGTAATGTTTTATGTAAATTCAAATAAATATCTATATAAATATGAAAAATCATCCAAATATGTTAACTTTTGAAAATTGACTTGGAGGTAGGCGGGAGAACAAAGCTATCGTTCGCAGTTCTTTATGTTTTACTTTAGTTAATCAGGCCCTATTAAGGTATACATATGCATACCAGTGGCACATGTTTTCTTCTCAAATGGGTTTTAATTTTCTTGTCAATTCTCTGGAAGCACTCCTCTGCAGTATAAGATGGATGATCTACAACACAAAAGGAGTTACAATAATTGTAGCTTCCACCATATGAAAAGGAGTTACCATAATTGTAGCTTTAACTATATTTAAACAGACGACAGTGTAGCAAAGACAAGGTGAAAAACAACATCCCAAAGAATGACAATAACAAGCACAATTACTGATAGACATGAATAGCTTATTTTCACAGATTTCCAAATGGATTTGGATGATTAAGGTCACTGAAGATGTCTAACATGATTTTTTGTCGAAGGGTGTCATTTAATTTCCTACAATGTTTAGAGCCATCATAATCCCCATTAAGACAATGAAAACACACTAGTATCCTTCCAAAGTCACTGTGAGAAATTGTTAATAGAAACTGAAATAATCAATTTAAATCACTATAAGACATTTTAATAATTTTAAGAAAGGCATTTCAAAGTGGAACATCCCATCACAAAGTGATATCTATGGAGCATCATTTCTCACACATAGATCAATTACAACGGGTATATAATAGAATGTAACTAATTTAGATCTCAGTTTCCTACAATCTTATATTTCCAAAGCACAGAATTTCAAACTTTTCACTTACATTCTTGAAACTTAAAAATAACATGATACACTTTAGAAGATGTCTAAACCATTGTCAAAACTACATACTAGTTTCCTGGAAAAAGTCTTATTTTAAGGGACATATTTTTTTTTATTTGCAAGATTTCTCCCTTTCCTTTTCCTTACATTTCCTTTTGTCAGTTGTATTTTCCGTCATCCTCTCCACCATCTCGAAGTCTCTCTCTACTTCCTCTTCCTCCTCTGTGATGGTTTCTGGGATAGATCTTCCACTGATGATTCTTTCCTGTTCCTCCTCTGAGCTATTCACAAAATTATTCCAAGCCTGAAACAAAAGAGAACCACCTCTCGATGATCCTTCATAAACCAAATTCATCATTATTAAGAAAATATGTTCTCTGTTTATTCAACAATACATGAAAACACTGATGCCCATGAACATAATTTTTGTTTGTTTGTTTACAATGACCCCTTTGAACTAACGATCTCAGTCTTTAACACTGATATGCAATTGATCTTGAAGCACCATGTGTAGAATAGCTGTACTACTGTATATTTTCATTTTGGAGGAAATAGTGCATAAATGAGTAATAAAAATCCCATCAAAAAAATTCAGACTTTTCCATAGTGAGAGCTTTAAATTAGTAGGGTTCTTCATCTTCTCTATCAGTTGCACAACCTCTCCAAGTTACTCAACATCTAAATGGGCTTTACAGTGCATCAGTTTTATGTTCTCACTTTCCTTACCTGCATCTTTTCTTTTTCATTAAACAGTTCTGCAAATGCTGAAATGGTTGGCTCAAAAATATCAAAGTCCAGCTCCAATGAGTCATCTTTTTCTGCCATGTTCAACAGTTGTTTCACTGAAAAAAAATTGTATAACATCTATACTTATGATTTACAGACATATATACTCAAACAGTATTCTGTAACAAATTTATATACTTGACTGACTTCTGTTCTTTGCATCATTAAGCTTCCATGTCTTAATCTTTGTTTAAAAAAAATGGTTTTTAATATATGCATAAATATGAAACGTATTTGTCAAACCAAGATCATTATAACTCTTTACATATTGAAACTTATGTTGGGTGCATCAAGTAGAACACATATCATATAAAAAAATCTGCAAAACTAAAATTAAATCATACAATTATCAACACGACGAGCTTTGCCAGCCCCCATTCTTTTCCTGCCCATGGCATTAATGCTACTGGATGATCCATGGTAACCTGCTCTTCTACCTCGCCTTAACTTTCTCTGTTTGTTTGCAACATTCTCTTCCTCTTCACTTTCCAGAGTATTCTCCAATTGTCTGCAAACAACAGTGAGATATAAGAAGAAATGAATGTCCGTACATACAATACACCTGCATTCTCCTTCCAAAACATGCTAATAATAATGTTTATAAAACTTCTTTGTATGGATTTTAAAATAGTGTAGGGTTTTATTGATTGAAAATTTACTTCAAAGTGAAGTTTTAGAATGCATATATGTATACAGCATAACCCTGTTTCCTACTATACAACCACAACAGTGTCCATATTGAAACACTATTAGGTCTACTTGTACAGTGTTGTATATTGTATGTCAAGGTCACCTCATAAGCTTCTCAACTCCGTGGAATTTTGCAGAATTTTTCACACATGTTTTGAACACCACTTCTCTCTTAATGCCTCTATCAAAAGTTTTAAGCAGAGTTGGCTTTATTTAAAGAATAATTTTGAAATTCTTTCCGTCTTCCGTGAGCTAAACTGCCCGTAACGTATTTTATGTGCATAATTGCGCTGTTTAACACTTACTCAAGCTCATCTTCGATATATCCAAAGTGAAAAAGATCCCTATTATTCTTCGTAACCCCCATTATCCTTTAAAAAAAAAGCAGCTGCAGGAAATTCTTGTTGATAACAACAGTTGAGTTGGTTCCAAACTGAAAATATTGCGTCACGAAGGAGGTATAATATGTATGCTGTTTTGGATCTCGTAACCAGCCTCTATAACCAGGCAGAGCGCATGCGTGAAATAAATTTCCATCGAGATCGGAAAACAGCAGAGAGGAAATTCGGAATATATAATGGAAACTAGTAATGCGGAATGATACTATAGTCAGATGCAGAAATTTTTGCATAATTCGATCAACTTTTATTTAAAAAAGCAGAAGAATAAATGAATCAACTTTACAGTTAGTTTTTATTTATTTATTTATTTATTTATTTATTTATTTATCATTCTTATAATTAATTAACTAAGTAACTGATTAATTTATTAAAAAATATATATTTGTATTTTTTTTTAAATTCATTTATAACATTCTTTCCTTCATTTATTAATTATTCTATCCATTAATTAATTATCTATTAATTAATTCATTGATTTATTAATTTGTATGCATGTTTGTTTATTTATTTATTTATTTATTTATTATTCTAATAATTAAGTAATTGATTAATTCATTAAGAAGTTCATTTATTTGTTTGTTTATCTATTTATTATATTCCTTCCTTCATTTATTTCGTATTCTATTTATTTATTATTTATCTATTTATTTATGCATTCATTTATTCGTATTTTTCTTTATTTCTTTATTTTTTATTTCTTTATTGATTGATTGATTTATTTTTGCATTTATTTATTGATTTATTTATGCATTTATCATATATTTCTTTTATAAATTAATTATTTTTACAGGGTTTGTATACTTATTACCAGGGTCTGTTTATGTATTGCCATAGTTTGTATACCATCACCAGGGTCTATATACCTATCACCAGGGTCTGTATACCTATCACCAGGGTCTGTATACCTATCACCAGGGTCTATGTACCTATCACCAGGGTCTATATACCCATCACCAGGGTCTGTATACCCATCACCAGGGTCTGTATACCCATCACCAGGGTCTATAAACCTATCACCAGGGTCTATATACCCATCACCAGGGTTTGTATACCCATCACCAGGGTCTGTATACTTATCACCAGAGTCTATATACCCATCACCAGGGTCTGTATTATCTATCACCAAGGTCTGTATACCCATCACCAGGGTCTGTATACCTAGCACCAGGGTCTGTATTATCTATCACCAGGGTCTGTATACCCATCACCAGGGTTTGTATATCAATCAACAGGGACTGTATTATCTATCACCAGGAACTGTATAGCTATCACCAGGGTCTATATACCTATCACCAGGGTCTGTATACCTATCACAAGGGTGTGTATGCCCATCACCAGAGTCTATATACCCATCACCAGGGTCTGTATTATCTATCACCAAGGTCTGTATACCCGTCACCAGGGTCTGTATACCCATCATCAGGGTCTGTATACCCATCACCAGGGTCTGTATACCTATCACCAGAGTCTTTATACCCATCACCAGGGTCTGTATTATCTATCACCAGGGTCTGTATACCCATCACCAGGGTCTGTATACCCATCACCAGGGTCTGTATACTTATCACCAGAGTCTATATACCCATCACCAGGGTCTGTATACCTATCACCAGGGTCTGTATACCCATCACCAGGGTCTATGTACCTATCACCAGGGTCTATATACCCATCACCAGGGTCTGTATACCTATCACCAGAGTCTATATACCCATCACCAGGGTCTGTATTATCTATCACCAAGGTCTGTATACCCATCACCAGGGTCTGTATACCTAGTACCAGGGTCTGTATTATCTATCACCAGGGTCTGTATACCCATCACCAGGGTCTGTATTATCTATCACCAAGGACTGTATACCTATCACCAGGGTCTGTATACTTATCACCAGGGTCTATGTACCTATCACCAGGGTCTGTATTATCTATCACAAGGGTGTGTATACCCATCACCAGGGTCTGTATACCCATCACCAGGGTCTGTATACCTATCACCAGGGTCTGTATACTTATAACCAGGGTCTATGTACCTATCACCAGGGTCTATATACCCATCACCAGGGTCTGTATACCCATCACCAGGGTCTGTATACCTATCACCAAGGTCTGTATACCCATCACCAGTGTCTGTATTATCTATCACCAGGGCCTATATACCTATCACCAGGGTTTGTATACCCATCACCAGGGTTTGTATACCCATCACCAGGGTCTGTATACCTATCACCAGGGTCTGTATACCCATCACCAGGGTCTATGTACCTATCACCAGGGTCTATATACCCATCACCAGGGTCTGTATACCTATCACCAGGGTTTGTATACCCATCACCAGGGTTTGTATACCCATCACCAGGGTCTGTATACCTATCACCAGGGTCTGTATACCCATCACCAGGGTCTATGTACCTATCACCAGGGTCTATATACCCATCACCAGGGTCTGTATACCTATCACCAGAGTCTATATACCCATCACCAGGGTCTGTATTATCTATCACCAAGGTCTGTATACCCATCACCAGGGTCTGTATACCTAGTACCAGGGTCTGTATTATCTATCACCAGGGTCTGTATACCCATCACCAGGGTCTGTATTATCTATCACCAAGGACTGTATACCTATCACCAGGGTCTGTATACTTATCACCAGGGTCTGTATAACTATCACCAGGGTCTGTATTATCTATCACCAGTGTCTGTATACCCATCACCAGGGTCTGTATACCCATCACCAGGGTTTGGGTATCTATGAACAGGGTCTTAATCTGTAAATCTATGTCAAGGGTGTGTATTATCTGTCATTAGGGTCTGTATGTACCCATCACCAGGGTGTGTATACCTATCACCAGAGACTGTGGACCTATTACCAGGGTCCGTATATCTATTACCAGCGTCTGTATTTCTATAACCAAGGTCGGTATTATCTATTAAAAGGGTCTGTATACTTATCACCAGGGTCTATATTATCTATCACTAGAGCTGTACATCTATCACCAGGGTCTGTATACCCATCACCTGTTTGTCTGTCCGCAAAAACGTGCCCATTACTTTTGATTGGTTGGACCTATGGCTTTCATATTTCACATGTGCATTCTTTGTGATAAGGCCTTTGTTTGGGTTCTAACATATTTGACTTTTTTGACCTTGATCTTTGAGTTTTTCCCACTTTTTCAAGAATTTACCAAACTTTAACCTTGGCTATAACTTTTCAACAGTTGGTGCAAGGGCTTTCATACTTTATACTAGTATGTGTATTCATAGTAGCAAGACCTTTGAACGGATATTAAAAAAATTGATCTTGACCTTTGAGTTTTACCAACTTTTAAAAATTTTAACCTTGAGAAATTAGTATCAGGGCTATTATTTTCCACATGTGTATTCCTTGGGTTCCGACATATTTGAAATTTTGACCTTTATCTTGGAATAAGACATACTTTTGAAAAACTTTAATCTTGGCCATATATTTTGAACAGTTGGTGCTAATTCTTTAATGTTTTACATGTGTATTTCTTATGACAAAGCCTTACCCTGGGTACCTTTAATTTGACCCTTTGATCTTGACCTTGCAGTTTGACCCACATTTAAAAAACTTTAACCTGAGATAAACCTTTTGAATGGTTAGTGCCTGGAATTTCTTATTTTTCAGATATATTCACTGAGAGTCCTTTCTTTGGGTAACAACATTTTTCAGCTATTAAGGACATACGCAACGTAGTTTGAACTTTATTGTCTTTTTCCCTGGAGTTGAGGATTTCAAATACTTAAAGGAACTGTGTGCTACATTTTAATGTCTATATATGCTGTTGTACACTTCTTCTAAAATAAATTTGGATAAACAAAACATCTAGAATATATGTTTAATAATTTTTGTATATTTTTCTTTGAATTATACAAGAATTTTCATCAATTGATATCTTTTCAAAACCCCTGGTAATGCATGCTGATTTTTTGTCTACGAACATCTGATGGCACTATATAATCTTAAATTAAGAATATCTTTAAAAATTATCAGTAGGTAAGGTACGTTGCGTATGTCCTTAATATTTGAGTTTGATTTGCATTTGAGAAACTTTAACCATTGTCAAAAGCTGCCATACAGGGACATCAGTGTTTCACAAACACATTTTGTTTTAATTTGAAATACCAAACAAAATTAAATTGAAATATTCGATAATAACCATTATAGATTTTAGATAATTTTGTTCACTAAAGAAGAGAAAGTCCTTTGCTGTAAAGTGAGGTTTATTTGTACGTTTATTTGTTCACTAATTTGTTTATTTATTTTTGGCCTGAAATGACCATGTTATAGACCGTTCGAGAAATTAATACGGTATGTTCTTTGACATCAAACATATCAAACTTTCATGCATACTTAGCTTTGAAGTCTACATTTGGACTTTGCGACTTTGTAAAAATATTTTTTAATATTTACATTTCCAAATATTTTTTCTTAAGATTCTTTGCAAATTAGAATGCTGTTCATTTTCTCATGAACTACCATGGATGAGCATGAATATCTTCATTGTTACGTCATAATACCATACTTGACGTCAAAACTATAGTGCAAACTGTTTTGCTTTAAAAATGACAGTTGAATGGTGAAATTTGTGGTAACTCATCAGAAAATAATGTAAATATAAGAAATGAATTTTAATTTTTGAAGATTCATGAGGTACATGAACTACAACGCTTCACGCCGGCATATTTATCATGAAGCGCTAACGCGCTTCATGACATATGCCGGCGTGAAGCGTCGTAGTTCATGTCCTCATGAATCTTCAAAAATTAAAATTCATTTCTTAAATGAACGCCTGCACTGAAAATTTAAGTTTAAATTTCAATTTAAATTTAAGGAGGTATAACCTATCGATTACATGAATTTTTATTGGGGGAAGTGGGTTAAAGTCACTATTTATAACAAAGTGTTGTCAGTCTAACTATCATGATAAATAAAGAAGGATGGCTAAATAATTGTCTGGAATGTGTTGCTTGGAATTTATTTCAAGGCCTAAACATGTAGATCAAGGTGTAGGGAA